ATTCAAAATATTCTGGAAGTTGATTACGGAGAATTCAGTGAGTCTGACAAAAATAATTGGTAGGTTAATTCCCTGTGGGATTCGACTCTGGGCTAAACACTCGGATTATATTTGCAACGATCGCTTGTCCTTTTTATAAGGCATAGTTGAGCGTGATCAGCATGTTTCCTGCCCTGTTTTAAGTGTCCCCCCTAACAGACTAATAATTTTCATGCTCCCAGTCCCTGCTACCCATTTGTATATGACTGACTGATTGATCCCAACATGTTATGTCTTTGTTTAGTGTCTGTCCCTATACTCACCTAGTAACAACTAGTAAACTAAGTTGAAACTTTGCTTGAAGTGATCCTATTTCTGTCTACTGTTGGATTGCTGGAATTTCCTAAGTGTTGAATGGCTCTGTTTGCTCTTTACCTCCTGAAAATCCAAAACTATTTTCTCAAAACTATCTCCTGTTTTTAACTCCTACTCTTAGAACATCTAGGGTCCTGCCCCTCCAGTGTGAGTATTGCCTAGGAGTCCATGAGACTCCTCTGAACTTTGACACATTGGGGCTGGCTCTCCAAAACTTGCTCACCAAAATGTTTCTTTAAAGGTTTTCTGGTGTGAGCATTGCTCCGGGTCCCTGAGGCCCTTGGGAACTTTGACACACCAGGATACCATTGGGTGCACTATAAAAATATTGGCATGTTCATACTTGGTCGAAGGCATGGTTCTTCCAGGTTTACTTTTTGGGCCTATCCAGGCTCCCTATAGTTTTAGCAGTTTCACTTCTGTAATTCATTATTTATGTTTGGTTTGTAATAATAATTTCTTTGTAAACAGATATTGGGGATATTAGTAAAATGGGAGGGACTTTTATATATGTTTCGTGGGGAAATCGGGTAGAAACCCTGCTCTTAGGACTGTTATGATTATCTTCCTGCATTTAGAAACCATGCCTATAGGTTGTTGCAATGTTTGTTTACTTATGTGCATTTAGATACCATGCCTATAAGTTTAAAATCAGTTCTGCATTTTAGATACCATGCAAATAAGGTTTACATCAGTTCCTGCATGCAAATAAGGTTCGAATCAACTTCTGCATTTAGATACCATGTCTATTAGGTTTTAAAATATCTCTGATCCATACCTAGGCAAGCCTGTAGGATGACTAAAATCTTGAGATTATAAAATTGTGCTTTGTTTAACTGTTTGTGAATTGCTCAGATTTAACTAGTCCTAAATCAGTAGGCAACTGATTAAGTACCTCCTGCCTCGCTTTAATAAAAGCACTGCATATGTTCTGCTTTGTGCTCACCTAGATATCCTGCTATAGGCCTTTTTTAAAGTGTCTGAAATACTGTTGTTTGAGACGTGCAATTGCATGCTTATTTGTAGAGGTAAATGCGAGCCTTTAACTGTTCCTTTATTTGACAATCCTATTTGTTTTGCCTGTCGCTTAGATTTTCTCCTTTTAAGCACTATAGGAAAGTCTAGATCCACCTTAACTAGAAGTCCTAATCACCTCCAGGACCATAAGTGAGGGACGGGTAATGCACACATAGAGTACGTTTAAGTAGAATCACTTATATAACCATTAAGGGCATGGTAATTGGGTAGTAAAGGATATGATAACCTGTGCACTAATGCTATGTGTAGCACCCCAACTTGGGGACGATTACCAAGCATTGCACAGAAGTGATCCTATAGGTTAAAAAACCTAGGACCCCCTTTACCCCTTGTTTTAAAACAAAATATCTCTTTGTCTAAATTGTTTTGTTTGCTTATAAGACTAATTCACCTAATTAGAGTTTGGTCGGGACTCACCATTGTGGACCTCGAGGGGTGCCTAACACCTTCCTCTCAAAGTTATTTCGAGCCCTAACCAATCTCTGCAAACTGATTTATGAGTTATTTGCTTTAGGTTCCCTAACACACCTTAAATCCGTTAGGTGGCGACTCTTAAAATCCACACCCAATTCCCAAAAGGAAATGAGTTGTTCCCGAAAGATACCGAAACCCGGACTCCGCGAGGAAAAAGGGGGCGCGACAATGGTCACATGTGCGTTTGTTATCAACTTGCAATTTGGTTTTTGCAAGGTTGCTTGCTCAAATTACTAAAGCACAGTTCCAGAATATAAATTATGATGATTTATATTGATAATGTTGGTTTAAATACAAGTTGATTTAGTAGAAATTGTATGCCTCCATTTATAGCTAAACCATTGGTTATGCTAACAAAACTCCCAAATAGAAGTTTGGTACGAGGTGTATTATTTAATATACAACAACACTTGTACGTATCTAGTCAACAAGTTATGAAAAATTCTCCCTGTCAGAATTGGTTCATGGTCAAGAACCAAATAATTTCCATCTAGAAATATAGATGTGCTATATGATTTAATTATTCCACAACAATGCACAAAGATGGGTTCCCAAAGAAGGTTGAGAAATATGTTGGTGATCCCAACATTAGGGGGAGAAAATGGGCAGCTGAAAAAGTGAGACGTGGAATGAATTATTATGAGTACATTTAGATCCTCGTACAAGAAAATGTGAACTTGAAATTCAAGTGATAATTCATTTGCAAAATATTGCGCGGGACATTTGTTGGCCCAAAGCTAAATATCATATTTCATCTGCAATACTCCAACTAAAATAAAGTCCATGATAGACATAGTCTATGACACGCATAAAACGTAATAGACTAATTGGTTCCAAAGATAAAACTCATTGAAGAAGGAGTGGATCAAATGATCAAGATGGCAATAATAAGGAGACAAGTGTTCTAGAAGAGCACCATGACATAACACTCTATAAGACCTCAAGGAAGAGGTTCAGGTACCTGAAAATAATGAGATCTCGATAAGTTATGTCTTTATTGTATGATGATGGAACCGATGTAAAATGATCGTCGATGATTGTTGATATAATGTAACACTCAATATTATTAATATTGATGAGGATCTTGAGCTCAAATCTCATGGAATTTGGACAAATAAATATTGGTCAAATGAAAAATATGCAATGAAAATTAACTTCACCTGAAAAATGTGAAGTTAGATGGATAGTCCCAACACCTGAAAATGAAATGAAAAATCAAGTCGATAGAAATAAAGATGACTTATGGCACAAGATTTTTCGTAAATATCCTGGCATTAGTTATATGGAGATATGTTCTCCTGTGGTGGATGAAATCGTTTTCAAGTTTTAATTTGACAATACATGAAAAACTTGATATGCGTCTAATGAAAATGTTGGAAGGATTTACATTGTTCGCAAGAAACTTATTAAATAAAGCTTAATCAAATCCTTATGTGGATTAGACCAATCATGGTGTATGTGCTTTGTTTTTGTGTCTAGTGCAATTGGTGCACTAATGTATCTTGCTAGAACCATAAATATAATAATATTCTAGCGAGATATAGTTTTACTCCTATGTGGATATATTGAAATACGATTAGTGTTATATTACAAAAGGAATCCTTGATATAGATTTGCTTATTCTAACAAATACTATCAAGATTTCATTGGTTATGCAAATGCAGACATTTTCCTGAAGTTCGTTCTTCAAACAATCTATTTACATGTGAAGGTTGCCATATTATTATTCTACAAGTCAGTTAATTGTTGATACTTATTCAAGTCATGCCAAGATAAACAACTGATAAAACAAGTGACTCAACACACAACAGACGTGTGACTTTTCTTTGAAGAGAAGATTTCAATAATATTGAAGATGATGTTGTTTGCATTGAAAGAAGGATATATCGAAGGGGACATAATAAAGAAAATTTTACCACAGTTCTTTTTCAGACGCATGATCTTCAACAGAATAGTGAAATTGATATTCAACAAATTTGTTCATGTGATAATTTCTCTAATCTATTCACTAAGGCATTGAACCTCAATGTTTGAGAAGTTGAAATACAGGATTGAAATGCATTGTCTTCCAGAAATAAAGTGATGTTTTCATCAGGGGGAGACAAATATGCGGTGTACTCTTTTTTTCTTAGCACAGATTTTGTCCCAATGGGTTTTCCTGGCAAGGTTTTTAACGAGGCAACATACAATATGTATTACATGATGTGTGTACTCTTTTTCCTTCACTAGTATTTTTTCCTAGTAAAGTTTTAACGATGCATATTATTTATGGATATCCAAGGGGAGTGTTATGAAACATTAGATTATAGTGGATGTCCATAACTCCTAAATGAATAACACTCACTACTCTTCCCCGTTATCTCCATAACTCCCATTACTCCAATACTTATAGTTGTAACTCCCATAGCCTCGTCCATGATTTTAAATGCTTAATGCCATGTTTATGACATTCTTTTGTATACCTCTATATAATACTATAAATAGAGGATGAGAAATGATATTGTATACACTTGGAAAACACTTGATGAAATAAGAATCTCTCCTCTCTTTCTCTCTATATTCTTGTTTCATATTATTATTTTAATTTAGTTTCTTAACAATTAATTAAATGTTATTAAGTGAATAAAATAGTGTAAACTACACATATAGTGAGGAAGACGTTCCAATTGGTTAAAAAAGGGTAAAAGATTGTGACATTCACCACAATATTTTGCATATCTTATTCAACTTTATTAATTCATAGGTTACTTTTTTTGGGGGGGGAGAGG